TAGTTCAGAGTAATTGTTTGCTGCCCATTCTCTAGATTGTTTTACAAAACGCGATGTCCTCCGGATTTCGTCGTACTGGTCTCTAACACCCTCCCCTTCAAAAAGCCAGAAAGTGTCGGGTGCAGACCATACACCACAAGTGACGACGGCCTCCAGAAAATGCAAATTTTTTGCCAATGAAATGATTAACCTGTTACAGTTGTATTCGATCAGTTGACACTAATTACAACTATCATTTACTAAAAATCAGCTATCACTATGAACCACTACTAACCAGATTTACTTGGAGGCCGTCGTCAGTTGTGTGTTTGGTCTGCACCCGACACTTTCTGGCTTTTTGAAGGGGAGGGTACGTAGCAATTAACAACCACTTCCCATTTTATTTTTTGATTCCAAGATTGTTGTAAGATATCAGTTGCATTACGCTATCTAAAACACGTGTGAAATCAATGATAGTGAATGAGTGACAAGCAGCACCGTTGCGTCCGGCGAGTAGCAGTGTCTTACGACGCCCCTCTCTTTCTCATCGACGCAAATACAACCCTGAAACGAGGGATTTCCTCAACCGTGATTTACTGGCCGTTGGGCAGCGCAGCCTTTGAGTCAGAGCAGTAGACGCGCTGCAAATTTTAAAGAATTTATCGAAATTGGTTCATATGAATATTATATACTATTCTCAATAAGAAAACTGGAGTAACAATAAATTTTATCATATAACAGGAAGAAGAACATGTGCAACGCAAATCAATGTTTCACACCAAATGACAGAAAGTTTGTGAAAATTCATGCATCCGATTCGCCAAATCTGGCAGGTAGGCTCACTCGTGCCGCATTTGCACGACGTTTCATTCCAGTGGGAGCTGTACGAATCGGGGATACTGTTCTGCAAAGTTCGCGCATGATTCGAGCTAGGAGAAGATGGTTTTGAAGGAAGTCTGATTGCATTAGGCAAACCTGATTGGCTTCTTGAATATTTCTTCACATTCCGACGAGTCTTCACTGTCATTGTTTTCTTCCGAATCTGTTTCACTTGTACTCTCCTCGTTCGAATCCGTCGATTCCTCAGCATTTTCATCTTCATCACTGCTAGTTGTTGCTTCAGCGCGTCGTTTCTCTTTCGCCTCACCTCCATCCGCACTGGCGTCCTCTTCCCCTTCTGTTGCCTCACTCTCACTGAAATCCTAGTGCACTTTAAGGTCTTGAGCAGCTTCTGTATGAAACTCAAAAATACGCGCAGAAAACCATAGGATAGATAAGAATTCAGTCTAGATATATTGGTTTGAGACACTCGAATGTGTGTTCAAAAATCTTTCACAACTTTGTACAAACACTAACTCAATAAACTATATAATAACCATAACTATGACATTCATCCAACGAGCAGGCAAGTCGGCTATTCCCTTCTCCCAGAAAGAAGAGGACTGTGAGTCAAAGAAGTCAGTCACAGTATTTTTGAGGTCACCAAAAGTGGCGAACTTCTTCTTGACCAGGAATTGCTTGAGGTGCCTAAAAAGATGATAGTCAGAAGGGGCGAGGTCGGGGGAATAGGGAGGGTGGGGAACGGTATTCCAGCTGAGCTCCTGTAGCCTGGACTGCGTGATCTTTGCGACGTGAGGTCGAGCGTTATCATGCAGAAGATGGACAAAAGCCTTCTCGGTCGCTTTCTTTGATTGCATGAGCGAGTTTCTGCAGCTGTAAATGGTAGCCGTGACTGCCTGTCTTTGAAGCAGGAAATCATGTAAGCATTCCCTTCGAGTCCCAGAAGCAGCACAGCAAAACCTTCTTTGAGTGCTGTCCTGGCTTGGGCTGCACGGGTGGATCTTCTCCTTTTGGGAGCCAGACAGCGACCCTCTTGTTGTTGTCGTAGAAGATCCAGCTTTCATCCCCGGTAACCAGATCCTGCAGAAACTCCTTCCGATTTGGGGTAAGGAGGAGCGACTGGGCGATTGAGACACGCGTGTGACGCAGATCTTAGGTCATTTTGTGCGGAACTGCTTCACTTTGCTGAGAAGTCAGTCGTCTTCGATAACAGCTGGTCTCCCAGAGCGAGGATCCTCGTCGAGCATCGATGTATTTGTGTCTCAAAACTTTTGCACCAATCTACTACAAAACTCAGCAATGCAAAGTACTTGCCACTCACGCGAGGACTAACTTATCTAAACTTTGCTTTATAATACAGACTCTGAACAGTACCGATGTGCTGTTCTTGTGTATTGTAAGATATCTGGTCAAGATTCATTGCCACCCATTAGCTCTAGAGAGCAAAACAACCAGAAGTGCAAGGTGGTTAAGATGTCGTCGTCAGTATAGTTTGAACAAATGATTCTTATAAATAATCGTGAGATTCACTGAGAATCGTACGTGGCTACTAAGGTGAAATGTAGATCGGAGCCATTCATAATAACTAATCGAAGCGAAAATATCTAAACAAAGTGGAGTTATGGAAGCACAGGCTCTGAGTGTGCGATTAGAGAGGAATACCGAACTGGGATTCAGTACAAAAGCGCACACCTGGAAGAGACTTTTTCAGAGGGCCTACATGAATCGCAAGAAGATTCCGTGAAAATGAGGAGTCAGCAAGATAGCAGCCATTTTCGCTATAGAATAATGCGGTGAGGGTAACAACCGAAAGGCATCAATCGTATCCAACCGTCTCAGTGAGATATGTAATGATTATCTATGGTATGCACCTTTCCACAAATCTACTTTGATTAGGTATGAGTGCTTTTCCGCAATACCACTCCGATTAGATAAGTGTGCCCCCCCCCAAAAACTACTTTTTCATTACCCCTAATCCTTCTTTGTGGGATAATTTGACACTTGAGCTTTCACCAGATAGCGATGCTAGGGATCGGTGTTAATCCTTCCCAAAATCGTTCAATGCTGAGCTAGCCAGTTTCAAAAAAAAGCAGTACCTATCGGAGTTTGACAAATCGGTGCTATCGGCAGTGACCGTCGACTCGCGGTCATTCTCATCGTATCTGGCTCTGAATGATCCGTCAGATAGCCATCCTCAATGGGCTTCGAGTCCAGGAGTGACTGGTACACCGTAGAAAGCAAATCTGGTCGCACTTCGTTCAACCTGGCGAAATTTGAATTGTACATATTTAGTGGTATACGATAGATTCTAACTATTAAAGGCAAAAGTCAGGCTCGTGTTTGGGCATTATGGCGCCTGAAATTGAGTGTAGAGATGGGAGGTGGAACGACAGTGAAGAAAAAAACGCAAAGAAACCGTCGACAAGACCGTTAACAAAACCCTCTTCCCACTAGCAGTGAAGGAGGCTGGCTTGGGGAAAGAGGCACGTACAAACAAGTTTTCTGGAGATGTCAGTCGTTCTATCGGTTGATACGGCAATCAACCTAGCTGATTTCACACGTTATGCCAGCCACGCACCACTTCCCGGTGGGGGGCGGACCTCGCTGAGGTACAGGGTGCGCCAAAATTACGGAGACAGCGACTTCGAGTTGCCTAGGATGAGCAAGGTGCAATTCTTTGAAAACAAAAATGCAGTGACGTGCACAGTCCCATTCTGAATCGTCGACATCCATGCAATTTTTGAAATTCCTTGGTTTGTGTTTATACGGGTCCTCAGAAACATCGAGGAACCATCGACTGTGGCACGCAATGTGGCGAGTAGGACTCGTCAAGCTCATTTTAGAGCGGTTTCTTCAACGAATCCCTAGACATAATGTGTTTTATGCAAGCCTCAGCTTCTAGAACGGATCCGACAGCGTACCCTATCGAGCTCAGATCTGAAATGCTGTTCTACCACCGTTTAAGCCGACAAAGTCGAAAAAATCGGTTCTGCATCAATGCTGCACTAGTACTGAACCACCCTTGCCTCGTAAACGGGAGCTCCTACTTGATGGAAGGCCCAGCAACGATTTTCAAAGTGAAAATAAACTCAGGTTAGCAATGGGCTCTGATAAATCCAAAAGAGCCCCCTGATTCCCTATCTCTCGTGACATCCAGTGAAACCAGCGCGTCAACTACCTGCAAATTCTATCGCACACAATCCTTAGATTGTTCGTGGTCGCCACAGAAACACGCCCTTCTCATCCAGAATGACTGCATTCAGCTCCTTGTCCCCTGTACCACTTGGAGCATCTATTGATAGTGCTCGGGTATACACCAAAACGATGATAATTGTCGCGTGCCAAAAACCCTCAACGTCGAAGTCCAATGATTTAGGGACGGTGTCAGTATCAGTCAACCGCTGCAGCTACCATAGATTTTGGTGGTTGAACAAGGTAAGCATAAACAATTCTACACCACAGTACCAAAACTAGGACAGAAGAAAACAGCATCTGTGAATATCAGTTCAAATTGTTTGCTCATGCGTTGTCTCCGTAATTTTGGCGCACCCTGTATAGGCCAGAGGCCTTGACGGCGCGCAATCTCGAGTCAGGAGTGTGGCATCACCCCTCTGAGCGCATTCCTGGAAATATTAGTGATGGAAAGGCCTTCTATGGTTACCTAATCCTGACTCGTGGCTTTAATGAACATTGACGGAATTGGACGCTTCAATCAACATATGGACTTCAATGAAACAGTGTGAAGCGCTTAAACAAGTAGGTGACTCTGAAAAATCAGGAAATCTGATCCCTGACCCCGTGTTGAAGGATGGAGAAAGGTTGCTCGTATTTGTAGGCTCCGGTGATTTATGTGCAGAATCTCTACAACTCCCTGTACATGAAGTTACCCCATAAAATTAATAGTTAGGAGCATTGTCGAAAGCGATGGTAACATTAGCTTGGTGATCAGATGTGAAGGAATACATGATTCTTGGTGTGTCTCTGAAGGAAAGGCCAATAAAAATACCACTGAAGTTCATAGAAATTGCCCACCCATGCCCATGCTTAGGTTCAGGGATTCCACTTTAGTAGGAAAACAATACACTGAAAGTAAGAAAATCTGATAAAATGAAAATAGAGGCAGGGTAGATCGATTAGGGTGCTGTGACGCTTAACCTGACAGTAGAAATCTGATTGTAGCGAAAACCGTTAGTAAAGCCGAAAGGATTGAACCTATCCCCTTCTTTACAGCAGCAAAGGAGCCTTGCATGTTCGGTGTGAGAGCTGATCGAGATTGCCGGACGTGTAGGCTCCATGCAAGCAGTTGCAGTGCTATCATTTACAGATACTGCTACCAATAAATCGTCCTCGAGATGAGATATTTGTAATTCAAATAGAATGCCGTTCACCTTGCGAGAAAGCCATACTATGCCGGGGATACATTTCTAGCGGTGAGAGGTCATAAACGACGCCAGACTGCGATCGCTAAAAATACTGGGCCGATGATGTGATTGTCACACTGTTTTGAGTCAGAGACGTGAAGTGTCCCCTTTGGTTGCTGTCATAGCCACTTCAATGATGGGAGGGGCTTTTTTGACCGGCTTATCTCAACCTAAGGTTAATGAAGTCAATGAAGTGGGAACCTGAATAGCAAGCGAAATTGAAACCCACTTTTCAAGGAAAATTCTCGTCAAGGCCAGGACGCTGTTTGCGAATTGTTGGATACACATGAAAAAGGTTGGTCGGCGAACAGAAGTTTTGAGTGATAGCGACCGTATCGTCCTCATTAATTACAGCATGCCACCATCCTGTTAAAAAGTAGTAGAAGTTATCAGGCTTACACATTCTTCAGAAGCTTTCCAAAGAAATTCCTTTCAAGCAGTTGCTTTGAGTTTGTGAACTAGATTCTCGGAGCTATTCAGAATACTTTTTTCATTGGATAACTGATGTTTTATGAAGCAGTTCGCACTGCAAAAGTTCTACAAGAATGCTTAGTTGCAGGCAAAACCTGCTACCCAGCCGCGTACCCAGATCTCTTGTTTTCCGGGCAATTGTGCTACCAGTTACATCAGAATTGCTCCGCACGCTACCGCCCATCACACAGTATTTTCTGGTGATAATTGCCAAAGTAGAACATCAATTACAGCGGCGAGGGAGCGCAAATGGATCTGTGCCTTGTACTTAACTCTTGGATGTTTCCAGTTGAATAATTATATAGCATAAGAAAGCCTACTAATAATATCCGCTGAGTGAAGGTACTTTTTGCGTGTTTGTCTGTCTGCGTGACCTAAGACTCATAAGTGCGCTTGTTTAGAGTGCTGAGGAACTGAGGGAAGACGTGTTCATGTGTGAGATGGGGATGGCCATCTTACATAAGCCCTTAAGCAGATTTTGCTTAGTGCGGTAACGCCTATCCGGATCTTTCAAAACAACTCCTCCAAGCCTTATTCAAAAATGTCGACAAGAAAAACATAGCGATAACTTACCGCAAGGAACAAATAACGTTTCTCCGGGGTTTTGTCTACACTCATACACCGGGTACTTATCAAATGGCCAATCTCCCTGACGTATGCGTTTATAAACTGTTGAGAACCAAGTTACTGCTTCTTTGGGATAAATGCCACATTGATCTTTCGGAACGTGCACAAGTTCATTCGGAGTGTCGGATGATTGAAGCCACAGCCACCTGCAAAGCTTACATTTTCATCACCAAAAAGCAGCAGTGAATAAAACTCGAGACGGGATAGATTAGAGGCATCAGATGGCTTAAACAGGATAGATCCTGGCCGTTAAAGTATCCAAGCTTATACCTTTTCCTGACCATTGATATCGTAAGACCGTTCCATCCCGCTGAACCGAGGATCAACGTGGATAGTAGTTCCCAGAACGAGCGCCTCCAATTACAATCCACCTGAGAACCAAAGATTTCCACATGTTCCTACATCCTACTGCTATGCGTATATTCAATGGTATGAAAAATTGGCATTACATGCAATATAGCACAGAACACGACAAAAATGACATCACATCCAGAAGACAGTCAAGAAGGAAATGGGCGCTGTGAGGAAGTGCATACGTCATCCCCACCCTTTCTTAGTGACTGTAGCATTTCATTTTCAGGGTACCGTGCAGTTTAGGGTAAGCCTATGACCAAGACTATCGCAACCCGCAACTTGCTCCTCACTTGCAAGTATTTGGAGCTACCATAGAAAAAAATTCCATTCTGTGGAAAATACAACTAGTTTCTGAGTTCCTTTTTTGAAATACCATTCTTGCCGTTCTCACGGCTAAGGGTTTGTTATACTTTCTGTTTACTAACCGAGTACGTACGCTGATCAGAAGTTCTTACAATTTCATCTGAAGAGAGTGATCGCGATACATCTCGTGGATCTCGTGGTCAAATGGGAAAGATGAGTAGAAATGGGTAGAGGACCCAACCAAAGAGACGATAGCCGGCTCTCCCGGAGTAGTAGCAACGACGTGATGAGGCGCCAAAGGAGAGCTCTTCACCTCCGGAACGTCCGCCATTGAACATGAGACTTACGCTTGTGTGTTTGATAAGATATTGTTGTCTTAATCGTCAAATTTTCATTCTCGAGTGCATCTCCGTGCAGCCGCAGCTTCTTTTCTTACCGTAATGAATCTGTCATGAGGCCACCCTCGTCCAACTATTCTCTAGCTCAGCTCTTCTTTTAACACTTTCTGTCAATGACGTATGGAACCCTCCTCTGAGCCAGCCTAGTGGACAAAGAGTAGAAAAGAAAGAAAAGTAATATGTACTGAGCAGTGAGGAGAGCATGGCAAACATAAAAGTAGATTTGGATAACTTTTTTCAGATCGGATGCTAATCAAATTTGTACTACGTAACGAACCTGTACGGTGGTCGTTTCATATTTGTACCAAGGATTTCGAAGAGATCATCACTGAAGAACCGGGGTACTTCGTAATCGTCCAATATTTGCTTTGTACATCTGTTCTGGAACCCATACAATATTTCAACCTTGACAAGGTTTCGAAATGCATTGCAGCATATGAATGCATGTATGTATATGTAAAATGTAAAAAAATATGTACCTGTGCAAAATATTCGTCAAATATGTAAAGTGGACTGTCATCTTCGTTTTCCCTCATATACTCAGAAAAGTATTTGAATTTTAAGAAAACTGATTGTCCTTTCGGAGTTTCGCCACACTTGAAGTATGAATTCCCAAATCTTTGCGATAGTTTCTGTAACAGGAAAGTAATCACTGAGCTTTGCCGAAGAACTACAAAAAGGTAGATTCTGTCGCATTGGCCAGAATAGGATTTTCAATCACGCTGCTCCTCTGCTGGAGATGGACATGGAAGTGGAGCTTACAGCAATTGCTTACGGAAAAATCATGAATCAATCTTCAATTCTATCTCACCCACAAATCTCTGGCTTAGGATCCATCATCCGCAACAAGAACAAAAAAAATGTTCGTTTTCATGAACAAGCCGAAAAACCCGAAGCACTGTTACGCGTTCAAGCTCCCGCCCTGTCATCACGCTGGCCACGGGAATGATTATTCTTGGTCCTCGGAGTGCCTTCACTAGGATTCTTTTGGCCTTGCCCTCCTGCGGTAATAACAATTCTCTTTTCTACTGCCCCCATTACCCGTTTCTCGACCTACAAAAATGTGCCACGAGGGTGTAAAAGTCCTGCATATCTGCCCCAATAGGTCAAAGGCAAACCCCGGGGTTAGCCCTACTAGTAGGAGGGATACCACGAGGGAAATTGTAAGGTCCGTACCTACCTAGATCACTCCAGCTTCGTCGCAAAAATTGCGCGGTTAGGGCGCTAATCCTTACGGGCCTGCAACCATCGACCCGATTCCAACGCTTCCCACCCACCGCGAGAGTGGTGAGATCAGCGTGCATTGATGTAGAGATCAGCGTGCTCTCTCAAACGACGTGCTCTCTCGCGTATTTTGTCTTCTTTGACCGCCCTGTCTCGCCATCGTACCACATCCGACCTTACTGAAGGTTAAGGCCTTAATTTTCAGCGTTCCTGAAGATTTTTCTCTTGCTTTCCTTTCCCACTTTCAGGTCGTCCGCACCTAGGTTATCACCACGAAGCGCTCTTAGCACCAGTTTAATTCCGGAGTTTGCCTTTAAAGAACCTTATGTTTTAGAAGACCAGAAGTAGAGAGCAGACCATCCACAATAGGTAGCGACGGCCTTCACTAAGTGTAACTGTTTTCTGCCGTTGAAATGATTAGCCTGTTGCAGTTGTATTCTATCAGTTGTCACTAATTACAACTATCATTTACCAACTATCAGCTATCACTATGAATCACTAGTTACCAGATTTACTTGGAGGCCGTCGTCACTTGTGGTGTGTGGTCTGCACTCGACGCTCTTCTGGTTTTCTGAAACAGATGGTGTAGCCAATAGCGACGTATTACTTAAGGTGCGCTCACTCGCCCCACGCTCTCTCTCACTCGCGACAGTGTATTCTACCTTGAGGTCTTTCATTTTCAACAGATAAGCGTGTCGGATAAGTAAGCTCCTCTTTGCGACAGGACAACTCCAATTTATTCTAGAATCCAGCAACGTTTCCGTTTGCCTGTACTATCATCAACTTTTTCAATACGCAGCCTAAAGTGGCTGACCCCTCTGTCATCTCTTCCCCTCGTACACTCCTCCTTTCAAACCTATGAAGCAGTGGAAGCAGCGAAAATTTGCTCGTACATATAACTTATGGTAACGTGCCTTGATCGTCCAGTTTTCATGCGCCTTCCATTTGTCCGTAAGATCAGTAATCACGCAAGGAACACGTGGTTTTTCGTACTTCTCACGAAATTCGTCCACAGTTGTCGTCTTCCCGTTTACTCTGACCATTTTGTCTTCGAGAGGAGGTAGCTTGAAATTCTTAGCGTAATTCAAGGAGTCCCATCCGACCTTTGCAAGATCTGCGAGGAAGGCTGTGAGGTAGAAAAAATGGGAAGTATTTATTTATAACGGACCAGGGCGATCCTTGTTTTGAGCTGCAGTAACTCGACGTTCGCATCTAGTGTAGAACATTTTATATCCAGCGTCCACCACCGTTTTCTGGAAACAAACAACCATACTGTGTATTGATGATTACCTCAATGACCTTGGGTTACCCGACAAGAGGCCTCTCGCGTGGCGAGAAGGCAGTGACGCAGACGGGTTAGTGGACGAGCCGCAGCGCGTTTGTGATTTCGCATCAATTTCGATAGAATGTGCTGTAGTGCGTCCCACTTCGTACAACACGCGCTTCAAACCATCCGCTGAACAGTTTGCTTCACTGCCACGACGAGCCACTTGACGGGGACCCGTAATCTTGGAAAAATGGGCGGGAAGCAGGCGAGAACGAATGCGAAGAACGAAAGGACGAATTCACGCTGGAAAGGCAACCCATTTCAAATTAAGTTAGCGATGGTGAGTGGTACACTAAAGAAGGAAAAACCATGCGAAACGGCCCAGACCCTTCCTTGCCCGTTGATTTGAGCATTGATGCGACTATCATCGCTGTGCCCTTCAACACTACGCTCTCTCACCTATCTAATCACTCGCCACGTATAGACCTGCGGCGAGTGATCAGATGATCGGTGGGCGTGCACTGGCCCACCGCGCCAAGATTGAGCCTTAATAGGTCGCCGAGGTCAACTCCTTCGGTGCCATTGCGCTTCAGTCCGCACCCTTAGGAGGTCCGCGGGTCCCTCAACTAGGTGAATTACTCCTTCTTCGACCTTCATTCTAATCATGAATTCGTCCTTTAATCAGCTGTCTTGAACCTTGCTTGCCTCCACCGTGTACAATCTAAGCTCTACATAGTGGAGCTCTTTGCAAAGAACTTCTCCTCCTAAAAGCCAAACTCAGAGCGGCAGCGGAATGGCTCGTACTTCCCTTGTTGTTATCATCAAGGTAGCTGGCAAAGTGCTGATTAGGTATAATAGAGTGATGCAACACATATGCCTATGGAGAGAGCTTAAGTACAGGGAGATGGATACTCTCACTAAATAGGATGTCATGGTGACAACATAGACCTGGAACAATAACATAAGTCTACTGCTAGTTACCAGGTGGTCATGAGCTCATGGTAACCTGACGACTAATTTGCAAATTGTCAGGAAACATGCGTATGGACCTCTGAAACCCCTCCGTAGGTTCTTCACCAGAGGAGAGTGAGCCACAGCAAGTCTTTTCAAAATAAGCGCTACCCTATAAAGTCGTTGCATGACGAGGAAGCCTTCTGTTGAAAACAAGTGACTGCAGCAGAGAAGGTGGGTTGTCGGTTCATCATTCATGGGAGTCCTTCGGAGGGCTTTTTAGGTATGGCCCTCTGAAGTGTGCGTGGGTCAAAGCAGGGATAGTGAAAAGAGAAAGGGAACCGCACGGCATCGATACGTCAACGGTTTAGGTGTGGCGCCCTCGTTCCATGTCAATATTCGATAGGGATGTCCAAAACTTTGCAAGCTTCGTAGGCTATTCCCTTTTCTCCGCAAAATTTTCGACTTCGACAAAGAGAGGTCTTAGCGCAGTAACGGTTAACGGTAATAAGGCCCCAGGGCACGTACTATGCGCTATCGCCGCCTGGCCCCGCTACGACCGCCCACCTCGGGATGTGGTGCGTGGCTGGCATAACGTGTGAAATCAGCTAGGTTGATTGCCGTATCAACCGATAGAACGACTGACATCTCCAGAAAACTTGTTTGTACGTGCCTCTTTCCCCAAGCCAGCCTCCTTCACTGCTAGTGGGAAAGAGGGTTTTGTTAACGGCCTTGTCGACGGTTTTTCTCAGTTTTTTCTCCACTGTCGTTCCACTTCGCATCTCTATACTCAGTTTCAATCGCCATAATACCCCCTTATTGAGCCCGACTTTTGCCTTTAAAGCTTCGACCGAAGGTTCCAAGTTCATGAGAGCAGCCAAGTTTTGCAGAAGCTTGGCGCGTTTTAAGAAACGTTCTTGCACATGCTTCCACGACTTTTACTATTTCTCATTAATAGGATTATCACCACATTTGACTGTTAGCTCTGTGGGCTGCAGATACCGCACACGCGAAAACATACCACGCCACTGTCGGGATCTTGAGACTTCGCGCGCCCTTACTCACACTACTGGTAACGGGACATGCCGGGATTGAGTTTGCCTGAAGCTGATTGGAGAGTGGTCTGGAAAAGAAAAAAGGCAAACGGAACTCCTGATCAGCCCCCAAATAGCCCCTCACTCTTTGTAACAGCTCCATCCTACCTTGAGCTGGAGAAGAGGCACGTTTCGACCAGTTCCACAAAAAACTGGCTTCAATTGCTGTCTAATCCACTGGCGTTGAGGCCAATGCTGAGGCCACGTTCATAGTTCGTGTAAAATAGGACAGTAGTCGGTAAGGAACGTAAGAAAAGTATTTAGATAAGATTAGATACGATACATGACGATTAGCCTGAAAACGCCTAATCTACTACCCTCTAGCGATTCCAATCGATACGTATCCAACCTTGTCGGCGCAATAATCTACTTTACTGTATCCTAATACCCTAGCCTAGTGTTCTGATCTTCCAGGTCACGAACTAATGAACGCGGTCCAACGTTGCCCAGCTGTGGCCGCGCTCTTTCGCAGCCTTATGGAGCGTTCATAGTTGGCGATCGTACGTGCGATTAGGCGATTAGGCGAGTAGGCGATGATTCAAAATGAAAAGTATACGGATCGATTAGGCGATTAGGCGTAGGCGAGTAGGCGAGTAGGCGAGTAGGCGATTAGGCGAGTAGGCGATTAGGTGATATCTGGATTGTATGCAACACTTTGACAAGATCTGCTTTTACCAACTAGTAGTCTAGTGTATGGGTGAGAAGCTAATATGCATGTGCGCCTCAATTTTGACGACTAAAGAGTGCGCCGTGTGCAAATCGCCTAATCGCCTAATCGCCTACTCGCCTACTCGCCTACTCGCCTCTCGCCTACTCGCCTACTCGCCTACAACGCCCTCAGGGCGGAACATACAAGTCGATACGTATGTAGTCTTCACCGCCTAATCGCCTACTCGCCTACTCGCCTAATCTATACGTATATTTTTCATTTAGACTAATCGCCTAATCGCCTAATCGCCAACTATGAACGCTCCATTAGCGTGGCAGTCGAGAGGGGAGGGCGGGGCTTGCGGACGAGGTGGGGGTTGCGGTTCAATGGATGGTGGAGCTTCACTTTTTAGCCGCAAATCTGTGCATGACATCAAACATTTTCCACTGTAGCAACACCACCCAGAGGATGGAACACGTGAGGCGAGACGGCTAATCGCAGATCCGTGCTTTCAAACAGCTTGTTTTTGCACCCGGGAGGTTACGCGATCAGAAGTAACGGAATGGCATCTAATCAATCTTCTTGGAAAAACTTCGGCGTTAATTTTAGCAGTCGCTTGACTCATTGCAGTGACATCAAAGCACATACCTTGACTATTTGAATGACGTCGGCGAGATCCTTGAAGAAACTTGCTGACTTCAGGTACGACCAAGTATCGGAAGCCACCGGAACCGCAGACTCCATGATTCTGTGTGATACAATGGAGTTTCGATATCATATCACACCTACCATATCACACTGCATAGATAAAGCACTTCCAAGATAACTTCAATTATTCATGATCTCACATGTTACCGAATGAAAAGTGGAACTGTGTCTTACGCAGCGCGATCCCCACCCCATTCTATTTATAAGCTACGATGGGATAATTAATGCAGTGGACCACCCTCCCACAGGAGTTCTCACTTTTGGCAACAGGCATAATATCCAGCAAACCTGTGAGAAAGCGAAGCAAAGAAGGAAGTTTCAGTCAAGCCTCTCTGAATGAGATTCTAGTCGCTGATTCTACTCATGAACGGCTCACACTACCACTCATGCTGGGTCCATTGGAGAATTGGTATTGCTAGGTGTCTAACTGTTACTCTTTAACTGTTATAATTGCCTCCCAAGCATATTTCCTCTCGATTTCATCGAATCAGCATAAAGAGAAATAAATTTCAAAATCTCTCGTATTTCTGCACGATTCAAGCTCAGTGTTGACCGGAAAAGCGACAAAGGGACTGGTTCATTTGCGTGAGGCTTCAGTTCTTTTAAGAGTTTTCACACCTCTTCTCACTCAATTATCAGGCCAGCAACCAACATTCAATCTCAATTGGGAACCAAATCCGAGCTCAGTTAGGTTGCTCGAGAAAAGGCACCAATGAGCGAAGTGGCACATCATTCGAACTAGAGCAGTATTACTTTCGGAAAACTGACAC